ATATATTGAAGTAATAATTTCTTATGTAGTACTTTGATGACCTCTATACTATGTCGTACACGAAAGTTCAAGTGGAAGAAGTCAAAGAGGAAATATGTCAATTTTATGTTGAAAACAGATTATTCTGATGGGTATGAATAAAATATTATTGTACGTGTTAGTTTGATTGTGTTGGAGCCTTTAATATTGTTTGTTTAATTTACCGTGTTGTTCATATTCATACTTTGCAGGATGACGACCGTGTCGGTGGAGCATTATTTTCGATGTAATTATATATGATTTAGTTACATATGTATATATATATGGTTACAAATTAACACGATACTTTGTATGTGATTTAGTTATGGTTACAAATGTATATATGGTTACAAATTTAGTTATATATGATTTAGTTACATATATATAGATAAGGATTGAATATTATATGGTATACCGGTTTCTGTTAATATAATACCGATTTCTTAAAATATATGTATAGATAAGGATTGAATTACAGGTTAAATTATTGGACCAAAAAAAAAATTACAGGCCGCACAGGGAACCTCAAATTATAGGTTTCACTTTAAAAAATTTGTATGAGCTACGAAAGCGCTTTTGGCTAAAAAGCGCTTTCGTAGGCAGCATAAATAAAAAAAAAATTAAATAGAAACCCCCTATCAAAGCGCTTTTTATGGAAAAAGCGCTGTGAAAGACCCCCCTATCAAAGCGCTTTTTCCATAAAAAGCGCTGTAAAAGCCATGATAAATAAAAAAACAAAAATTAAATAGAACCCCTATCAAAGCGCTTTTTATGGAAAAAGCGCTGGGAAAGACCCCCCTATCAAAGCGCTTTTTCCATAAAAAGCGCTGTAAAAGGCCTGATAAATAAATAAAAAAATTTAAATAGCACACCTATCAAAGCGCTTTTCAAAAAGCGCTGGGAAAGACCCCCCTATCAAAGCGCTTTTTAAGGAAAAAGCGCTGGGATAGGTCCACCTACGACAGCGCTTTTGGCCAGAAAAAAGCGCTTTCGTAGCCTACGCCAGCGTTGGCTACGGCAGCGCTTTTAAGCGCTTTTAAAGGGCAAAAAAAAGCGCTGTGAAAGCCCATTTTCGTAGTAGTGTACATTCCAAACCATAAAAGGCGTCTTGAAGTAAATTCACGTGGATGGAGATCTGCTGCTCAGGTAAGATTTTGTAGAAACAACTTCACCCTATAAAATCTTTGGTAACCATCTCATAACAACATGCACTCTACCCTTTTTCATATATTCATATCCATGCGTTCAACATGGCGATTTTGTTAAGGTGTTCCAACAACGATTTTATGCCTCTTAATACCATGTTTCCTGCAAAACTCATCTAACTACTTTGAAACAAAATTCAGGGCATTATCATTTCTCAACACATTCAATTTAGTTCCTAACTTATTTTCTATAAGAGTATGTGATTTCTTGAATTTTTTAAAGGTGTCACTTTTTTCCAATATGTAGATCCATGCTATTCTAGAGAAATCATCAATAATAGTGATAAAATACAAAACCTTCTCCATGATTTTTCACCTTTTTTGGACCCCAAGATCTTAGTGAATATACTTAAATGGCCTACTAGACTTATGCACACTACTCCTAAACATCACCATGTGTTATCTTTTTAGTATGCAATGATCATAACATTCTAGTTTAATCAATATCTCACTTTCTAGTAAATCTTGTTTCACTAGCTCAACCAAACCTCTTTCATTGATATGCCATAATATCAAATAATAGTGAACCCGTCTAAAATATAAAATCCACACATTTTAGATCATTTAACTATGATCAGTGCATTATGTAAAACTTTTAACACCATACGTTCAATTCTTATACGATAGCCTAAATCAACAAACGTACTTATGGACAACAATTTTCTCTTCAGCTTTGAACCATATCTCACATTGCGTAGAAGAAACTCACAATCATCAACAAGTTTAAGTGGCACAATGTCAATATCTAGAACTTTGCAAGCCTTATTGTTACCGAGTGGAACTACTCCACATTTTTTCCAGCTTTAGACTCTTAAAATATTTTTTCCTTGTCACCACTAGTGTATGAGCGCTCTCATAATCATCCTCATTAAATGCAACCATAATCTGAACGAAATTACCCTTACCTTCTCTCTTGGGACAATTCTTCTTGAAGATATTGATTTTATGACAAGTGAATCATTTCAACTTCGACTTATAAAAAAACCTTGGAATTGTACGTTGGCATGTATTTCTTTTCTTCCTAGTTTCCTCTACTCTCACTTTTTCTTCTTGATATTCAAGTCTTCACCACTATCGTCAACCTTCAAATATTTCTTCTTGATAGTTCATTTGACCTTAAAAGCATCTGAACTTCATCTTTCATTGTGACAATTGCGTGAAATGATCAAAAGAGATAAGTAATGAGCTCAACGAAAATAGAATCTTGTCATCATCATCATCAAGCTCTACTTTAACATTTTTAAGTCAATAATGATTTAGTGAAATTTTATCAATTGCTCCATAATTGATTTATTCTCCACTATTTAAAATGAGAAGAATTGTTGTTTTAGACATAATCTCTGGGCAAAATACTTTGTCATATATACTGATTCAAGCTTAACGCGCATCTCAATCATGATATTTTTATTGGCAACTTTTCTTAAGACTTTATCTTTGAGATACAAAAAATTTAGTCTCGACATAAAAACATAATTATTTTCAAATGTCAATTATTTTTTTCTTTCTCCATCTCATGGATCTATTTTTCTTCTTCTTTTTCTATGTTTATTTAATACAATTGAGTTTATACGATCATTGTTCATTTTATAATTAAGCAACTCATTTCAAATATACATATGTATTTAAATATATTTTATATTGTATCAAATTGGATTATAGTAAGAGACAAATTTTTTATTTTATTCAACAATTGTCTCACGGGTCAATACCAAAATAATTTTTATTTTATTTTCATTACCAATTGAATTTATTTAAGAAACAAATTTTTTATTTTCAAATGTGAAAAAAAAATTTATTCCATTCTCCATCCCATATGTATTTTTTTTTTACGATTATTTAATAAAAATTAAGTTTATATAATTATTACTATTTTACCGTTAAGTTTATATAATTGAATAATACATAATAATGATGCAAACAATAAATTTTTCTTCGCACGAGTCACTATCAAAATAATATATATTTTACTTTAATTAATAATTATTTTTATTTGAAAGACAAATGTCAAACTTTTTTTTTATTTCTCCATCTCACATATTCTTTTTTATTTTTGTATGAGTATTTTAATACTGTTAAATTTATATAATTATTATTATTTTACAATTAATCATCTAAATATATTTTATAAGGTATAAATATATTAAATTTTTTAAGATTTTGAGTGGAGACATATGTAGGGATGTCAACGAGGCAAGGAATGTTCGGACGATGCTTTTCCGTTCGCCGTCATACCCTCAAATTTATTCTCCATCTCCGTCTTTAATCTCTGTCATGGAGGAATATTTTCCTCCATCCTCATCCCCACATATTTCCACAGAGATCCACGAAGATCAAATTTTTAAAAAATTATATACTTTTCAATCAAAACTATGACAATAGTATTTCGTTATTATTTCCTTTTTTTTTAAACACATATATTTTACATTTTTCTTTTTTTTTAAAAATAAAAATACATCTTGCATCAATAACAAAAAAAAGAAAAAGCACTTATTGTTGCTAATATTATTCTGTAAAAAGATTAAAAAAATATTAACACAAATTGTTGCTACCATGTTTCCGCTAATTTACTACCACAATATCGTTGTCGTCCACCGCTAGTGGTTGATTATGTGTGAGTGTGGAAAATCCATAACTACTAACTTATTAATTGAATGAAAAATATGTTACTAATAGAAGTAATTGAATTTGAAGAGTGGTTATCATAAGCACAATGAACAAATGATAGTGGTTGTTGTGATAATGAGAATAAAGAAAAGATGATGAATGGAAGAGACAAAAATAATTGAGAAAAGAAAATGAAGAGATAATGTGTATATTCAATGTATTTGGTGTATTTTTCTTGGGTTGAATACTTAGATAGTGAAATAATACATTATACTGTAAAACATAAAAATAAAATAATCCAATAATAATTTTTCATTTTCTAATACATCAATATCTAAAATTATATAATTATAGATTATATAATATATAAAATATAAAACTTAAATAATATGTTTGGAGGCAGAGAATTCACGAAATAAAAAATACTTTCTCAATTCTCATCCTAAAATGTTGTCGGAGAAACTTTTCTTTTCATCTCTGCTCTTATGAAAAAAAAAATACACAACTTCAATACTCTAAAGAAATAATCACTACAAAAATCTCCGTTAACATATATATATATATATATATATATATATATATATATATATATATATATATATATATTGACTTCCCATGTATCTCCTGGTTTATAGAAATGAGATGAACCATTTAATTTTTTAATAAGTTTTATATGCATGAGAGCATGTAAATTGATCCTGTCAAGAAAATGTAACCACATAGACAAACTTACCTACTACTATTATGCCACATGAGAAAATTGGACCCACTTGTCACGTGAAGAACGGCTCCATTGCCACGTAAGAACAAACAATTACGTTTGGTACTGTTCCTCATGTAGAATCTCTCCTAATCTTCTCTCCACCAATCCCCATTTCACTCCCACGTGCTACATTGGGTCCCACTACATATGCCTGACACTATTCTAATATTAAATTCATCCGCCACTTTATCTTAAATCTTTTTTTATACAATCCTCACTGTAACCATTTCTGTTTACCATTTCTTTTTATTATTATTATCTTACAACTATCTATACCTTATGCCGAACCACCTTCCTTCTAAATTCGACCACTTCATTTTCTTTTCTTCTTCTTCTTCTCTCTTTTTTACCTCATCTTCTCTCTATATATCTTCCACTCTTTCTTTTTTTTCTTTATATAATCAAATACTATGGAAGACTCTCCTGCTACTTATATCCACTTGGTGAGTCTTAATTTTTTTAGTTTAATTTTAATCCTTTTTTCTTCAATATTATTTATGATTATAATTTATATGTAATTTTTGAATATATATAGGTGCACCGTTTGATAGAAGAGTGTATGTTATTCAACATGAGCCAAGAAGAATGCATGGAGGCTCTTTCCAAGCATGCAAATATCAAACCAGTTATCACCTCCACTGGTAATTAATTTTATTAAATAAATTTTTTTATATATATGTCATGATCACTTACCAAATGAATTAATCAGCATATTATAGCTAGCTACTACACAACAAAACAATTAGGCTGTATGGTGGTATATATGTTAACGTATACCAATTTTCAATACTATAAATGTTCATAATGTCATCAATGTTATGTTCTTTTGTCTTGTTTTACATATAATCTAGATAGTTGTTATTGAACATGTAAATTAATGATAAATTAATGTGCATGTAGTTTGGAAAGAGTTAGAGAAAGAGAATAAGGAGTTCTTTGAGGCATATTTGAAGAACAGAGTAGAGAGAGCTTCAGAGACAGAGACGAGGCAAAGGATACAAAACATGGTTTTGGATTTTTCTAAATAACAAGTTTAGATGATTTCATACGCAAATTAATAAGGTTAGTTTAGGTGTTTTCAATTAAATGAAGTTTGAAGAATCTAGTTGTCTATGTGTATAATAATAACATAAAATGATTAACATCACAATCATTTAATAGTAAAAACCGTGTCAGGGACCAAATAATATTGGACCATGGAACAACATAGTCGTATCATTGCATGGGCGGCATAAATGGTTTCATTTGATTTGTCTCAACGTATACAAAGTTGAAGTCAGTACTCTACACTGATGGTTATGTGTGACATGGCTTACATGTGTCATATAGTACTTAATATAAATTTGAAACATGTGTGTTAGACTATGTGACATGTGGGAGGGGATTTGCTAACTTTACTATTTGGTGTCTTTGGTATCTTTGGTGTATTTTGAAGAAAAAAAAGAATGATTAAAATAAGTTATTTTTGATGAGTGAAAAAGAATGGTTAGAGAGAGATATGGACAAAGTTATCAAAGGTAACCAAATCCAAAGGTAGCAGCAAATCCTAGTCCGTGACATGTAAATAAAATCAATTGTTAAATTTTCTATCACGAGTACAACTTGAGCAAGTTGTTTTATTTCATTTTGCGTAATAAAATTGTTTAGCTTATCAATAACAAATAATTAAATTATACTGTGATCAAGAATCATATGAGATCGCCATTTTACAGTATAAACTTTCTCTGCTATTCACTAAGCTGGCTTCGGCGAGATCGGTAAGTAACCGAACCGTTTCAAACAATTTAAAGACCCTCTTATCATTTTAAATACCGGTCCAACATTAATTTAGCTATGTTTTATTGTATGTTCCACCGTTATTGATTTTTCATATGTTTTTTATTAGAAAACTTTATTAAACACTGGGATAAAGGTTTCAAAATTTTATCACGAAGCAAATTTGTATTGAGACACTATGATAAAGGCTTCAAAATTTTATTAGAGTTGACATAATGACATGAAAAAAGTCAAACTAATAAGAAAAATTATTAAACCTTATAAATATTGTGTTAGTTTGTTGAATGTGTAATTTTTTTGTTAAATCAGTAATTTAATGGAGTATGTATTAATTATATTCAATCGAAACGTGTAGTTGTTGAAGGAGTTAGCGTCGACAAAATTAAACTTATCATTTATTTTGTGAGAATAAGAGGACAATTCATTAGGTTAGTTGGGATATTGTATGTAAGACGCGTGTCAATAGTGGTCTTAGAATAAAGAATGTGGAGATTTTGAACGTGGCGTTACTAAATAAATGGAAATGGTGGATTTTGAAGGAGAAGGATGCGGTTTGGAGGAGTATTTTAAAGTATAGATATGAGAATCTGGAGTTAGAAGTCCTTATTGGTGATAAAAGTGTGTTGAATAAAAGGAATTCTATTTGATGGAGGGGCCTTTTGTTATCGGATAACTATGTCAATTTATCGAGTAATCATTTTGTAGGTGCGGTAAACTGTTGTGTGAGAAATAAAATGAACATTCCCTTTTGGTACGCTAAATGGATCGGAAATGAGTCTTTAACGAAGGCTTTCTCGGAGATCTTTGTGCAGGCAGTGGATGATAAAATTGTTGTAGTTCCAGCAGGTATTTGGACTTATACCGGGTGGTCCTGGCAGCTAACGGACCTTATGTTTGACAGTAACAGGATTCTGCCGCACATTTGGCTGGAATTTTGTGAAGTAGCTTCACTAATGTTGCTGCAGGAAAATGTGCAGGATACATACATGTGGAAGCAAGATATCGAAGGAATATTTTCGATAAAATCTTGTTTTGATTTGTTTAGTGAGAATCTTTCTAGTCCACCTCTTTCGATGATGCCGTGACCGCTATAAATCACTTATGGAAGGAAAAAGCTTGTCAAAGTTGCAATTATTTGGGTGGAAGGTTATTCTTAATAGAATACCAACAAATGATCAATTGAGAAAGAGGGAAATTTTGACGAAAAGTAGAGATTTATCGTGTGTCTTGTGCTTGGCGAAGGAAGAATCATTATTGCATCTTATGGGTCCTTGCTCTATAGCATCGAGAATTTGGAGGAAAATGTTTGACTGGATGGGTGTGATACACAAGTTAACCTTGTTGAATTTGAATCGTTCTTTGTTCATTGCGAGAATGTGAAGAGCATTTCCAAAAGGTCGATTGTTGCGGTTATTTGGTTAGCAACGGTTTGGAGTATTTGGTTGAAGTGCAACGAGATCATCTTTAAGGGAGAGATGTTTAGATTTGATGATTGTATATCGGAGATCGTTGTTAATTCGTGGAAATGGTTAAATACCCTTTGTAATAATGTAAACTCTTGTAACTTTTATATTTGGAATATCCTACCTCTTATTTATTTTGGGAAGTAGGAGTTTTCTGGTTGTTTTCCGGTTGGAGTATCCCTTATACTCCTTTGAATAAAATCATTGCTTATTAAAAAAAATTATAAATAGGGAGATACCATATCAGAATTATTTTTGAATAACCAGGTATTAAAAATTTTTTTTGCAAATAAACACGTTTCGAAAAAAATTACGCAAATAACTATATTTCAGATGGCTCTCCAAAGGAGGAGCCATCTCACTTGGCGCCTCCACCAAGCTTTTTGCCCTAGGCGCCATCTCACTTGGCGCCTCCTCTCTCTTTTAGCCAAGTGAGATGGCGCATGCACTTTAAAAGTGAGAGGAGGCGCCATCTCACTTGGCTCCTAGGGAAAAATGTTGTTTTTATAAATAATTCGTCCGTTTCTCCGTCATTTCTCACACTTTCTCGCACTGTTTTTTTATTTTTTACTCTGTTATTTGCGTCATGACATCGCCCATGATTTTTACCAGAGATGGTTACGTTATCTTCTCCGCCACAAAACCTGCGATGAAAATGAAATTCTGGCACATTCACTCCATGGACCGTCTGAAGCGGGAGTTGTTGCGATGGCTATATGGAGACATCGTGGAAGGGGAAAAATTCGAAGGATCCAGCGAAGACGAACAACAACCTCACATGCGACAGGAAGACCTAATGTTTGGTTGGAGGAAGTCAAAATAGACAGCAACGTAATGTTGATGATGCATGGGTCAGATGATATTGTTTTAACAGTTGTAATTTCGTAGAAGAAATATCGTGTTTTTTTTCTTGTATGCGCAATGTTTATTGTAGCAAATACTGTTAACGAAAAACCCTAATGTTTACAACATAATTAAGGAAAGATTTTATGTAATACAATTTTTATGTGGTCGAGGCAAACGCCTGATTCAGACAATTTTTGCGATTGTGTCTGACCTGACGGCATAAACCAAACTTTATTTCCAGCTTGTCAAGGAAGTCCATTTCGGTTGTGATGCGCTTACTTTTGGGACGACCCTTTTTGTTCCTTCGCATTTGGTCATTGTGCCATACTATTTCACTGTCATATGCAGGCCAATAATCTGGTTTTGCTACTAATGGAAAGTTGTTGTTGTAAACGTTGACCAACGTTTCAGATTTGTAAATGTGTGACAGAAGTTGTAGCGCGTCTTGATGGGTATAAGCACACGCGACAATGACATGAGAGCAAGGCATACGAAAGGCTTGAAACTTGCCACAATCGCACCAACGAGAAGGTAGTATAACCTTATATTCTTGTCTTTGCAGGCCCTCGTTGTGGTCGATTGTCTCTTTCACAATGAAGTTGTGGTTGTGTCGGTCAAACCGTATTACCATATGGGTGTTGGCTTTGGCACTTTCTTCCTTAATGTACTTCATGCAGCTTTTACTCCATAGTTGTCCAGATTGCAACACCGCATTCCACATTTCACCTCTTTTGGAAAACAACGAAGCCATCCTAAAATACGTAGATTTTACCAAAGCAGTGACCGGGAGGTTTCATATGCCTTTGAATACCCCATTCATCGATTCAATTAAATTTGTTGTCATGTGCCCCCATCTTTGGCCATTGTCGTATGACCTAGTCCATTTTTCGACCAGAATATTGTCGATCCACCTACCGGCTTCCGGATTTGACAAACGGATCTCGTTGGGTAATATTTGAATGTGGGTTGTGTCAATGCATATCCCGCATTCATAACCGCTTTCCTTAGTGTTTTGTCCTTGATCTCCCTCGTGAAATTTTGGACGATACGTCTAACGCAATAGACATGCGTAGAAGGAGGGTCATGCCAACTGTTTGCAGGATTATTATATGCACTTTCAATTGATGCATGTCTATCCGAGATCAAACAGAGATTTGGTTGAGGAGCCACGTGTGTTCGCAGGTTTTTCAGAAAAAAGCTCCAAGCACCACCGGTCTCCCCCTCGACTAGGGCAAAGGCAATTGGGAAAATGTTATTGTTGCCATCTTGTGCAACTGCCATCAGAAGCGTGCCTTTGAATTTCCCATACAACCAAGTCCCATCAATTTGTATAATTGGTTTGCATGATGCAAACCCTGTGATGCAAGGTTGAAATGCCCAAAACACTCGACTGAGTATTCCATTTCCGTTTAGTTGACTACCATCTTGGGCGTATGCTAGCACTGTTTCCAGAATGTAAACAGTACCCAGAGAATAAGTCTGGAGTGCATTCAGGTAGCGAGGAAGTTCTTGGTATGACTCCTCCCAGTTCCCGTACACCTTTTCAATCACCTTGATCTTTGCTAACCACGTCTTACGGTAAGACGGAGTATAGTTAAAAACCGTAGTGATGTGGGAGATGATGGTTTTAACCTTTAAAGATGGATCGTTGTTGACGAGTGGTAGGATTTCTTGATAAATGAGATCGTAATTAAGTTTTCGATGGTCCTATGATTGAGTAGAACTGACACAGGTGTGGGTAGACATGGAACCTATGACCCAACAATCACCTCTTAATCTGTATGATGCAGTGAGCTTGAACATACAATCAGGGTGGACACACTTGATCTTGTACCTTTCTGGGTTTACACGGTCCACCTTAAAATCGACCGAGTTGAGCATGTGGAATTTTTTTATGGCTCTGATACATTCTTCTCTGTTACGGATTGAAAAATAAATCAGAAGATGGTTCATCTCCGCCCATGTTGAAGTTTGTCATGTGCGGAGGTGGTGTGTGGATCTCGTTTGCAGGAATACCAGGTATCTCATCGTCTTCGGAATCATCATTCACCATTTCGTCAAACTCTAACTCGTCATCTTCTTCTTCTTCTTCATCAACTGCATCTACCTCTACATGTTCGATCTTTAAAGGATCAACCACTTGTGTCATTTGAGGCTCTCGCAGCATAATGTACAACTCAATAGAGTCGTACCCGGAATACACATGACTGGAAAACATATTATGAAGATCCTCTTAATCTTGAACCTCAACCTTATAAAATATTATTTGGTTGTTAAAAAAAAATTGGATTCTGATAAAATATTTGTGACACCAGGCCTCGTCCAAGTTTGGCATCCAATCATTTTTTGAAGTACAAGAAATTGGATTTCCCGTTTAAATGAAATTAGTTATTGTCTGTGTCTCTAAACAAAAACTCAGAGGTGGGACAAATGTATGTCTCACCGTTGAAATGTGCACTGATGACATACTGGGGTGCAGAGGCCATTGCGTATGATTTTTTGAAGGTTTGAAAGTTGGAAGGTTTGAAGTTTATGAGTTATTCAAAGGTTTGAAGGTTTGATTGTTTGAAGGTTTGAAGGTTTGATTGTTTGAAGGTTTGAAGGTTGGAAGGTTTGAGAGATTAAGTGAATCAGTGTTTTGATAAATGTAAGACTAAATAGGTCATACTGAATTTGAATTAACTAAGGTTGTAACCTCTAAGGCTCCTCCCATCATGTCCAATAGTGTTACCAAGGCTGTCACCTAGCCTGCGCCTACTCTGCAAACCATGACACCTCTTATTCGCCAATGGGGATGGCGACACCTTTCATTTTTGTACTCTTTCGCCAAGTCCAATGGAGCCTCCCTTCACGTCCAATAGTGTTACATGCTGTGATCGGTGGAAATAGAACTGACTGTTTTTTAAGCTGGTTTCGCAAAATGTCGCGGTAAGCAAGAGTCGCCACCGTCTTTTATGTTCTCCAACATGGAAAGGACAAAAGCACAGCAAAATTCCTTTTTTGAGAATGTTTCTCGGTTTGGGAGGTAGATTTATAGAAATGGAAGGTGTTAGCACCCTTTCTATCCATGGTTATCCATGAGCTCTTAGGTACTTGCTCTTATGTTTTCAAAAATTTGTTTGCTTTTCAAGTGTGTGTGGGTTTTGAACAAGTTTCGTTTGAAAGATTTCTAAGTAACTCTTGTATCAGTCCTCAAGAGTGTATGAAAAATTTGTTTGAAAACTTTTTGAAAGTGTAGGTGCGAAAAGTATTTTTGTTTGTTTTGAAAAGAGCAAGTACTTAAGAGATCTACCTACTCTAAGGAATTAGGCTGTGTAAGAGTCCTTTAGATAGTGCTATCCCACCATTGAGAGGTAGGTAGCACTATCGTTGGAGGTATTCGGGTCAATTCGATTATAGGGACAGTGTGGTCACCTAAGCAATGGTAGGACGCCTTAGCGGTAACCCTAATGTCCTAGATCCTTTTTATCTGAGGTAACCGTTTCGAGGCAACTGGATCTTTAGACAGGAGGGCGACCTCTAAGACACCCTATACTTGATGACCACGTCGAGGCAACCAGTGAGGCGTACCCTAGGAGTGGCATGTGCTTTGTGTGTTGTTTTCATGTTATGTTTATCTTGTACATGTTATTTGTGAGGTACGGATTGATTTTATTTGCATACATTCTTTCATGCATTGTTAACAGTTAGGAGTGCGGAAACTAAATTGCGGAAAGATAAATTCTAACTATTACAAGGCGCGGGTCTATACATCGCCAAAGACAAAAACCCGTTTT